CTAATCTTAGATCCCTTGAACTCCATAGGTAGTTCATATGACATAAATGTCACATGACATAGCTTGTTAGGTATTCAACTTCTTAATGTGTTAGACCTTTTTATAAATCTTAGGTCGTACAATGTCAGCAAATTATTTAAAAACTTGATACATGGTGTCATATATTCTTAAGTCTAACTATTTCTAATGAAATATGTAGTCATTACCACTTGTTCTTCAGATGGAGAAATCGTTGTAACTCCATATCAATAAAAATAGGCATAGGTGTTGGCATTCCCACTAGTTATAAAGGCTCATTTAATTATTATTTGCCTAACATGTTTGTAAATGATTGTGGTGATGGTTTATCCATGTTGTTGAGTTGCATTCCATAATGGAAGTGCACACGCCAAGCGTAGTTGTGACTTGGTGGTATAAAATTAGTGGTATTTATAATAATGTCATAATCTATGAGTCGAATTTGCTATCGAACTGTGAAAATTTTCACAGAGACTCAACTCATAACTCTTAGTAATAATCTTTTTCTAGCGATTATGTTGAAGGAGGAATTATGTTCATCATTTGTGGGTTTCTTAACTACTCCGTAGAATGTTAAATACAAACATGGAAAATTAAACTACTTGCCAAAAAAATGCATAAAAGAAATAAAGAATAGAAAACAAATAAAGTGTGAAAAATAATTTGTTTGATTAATTAGATGTTGTGAATAATTTTAGAGTGTGGTATTTATAAAGGAAATTATCATATATGTCATAACATTATGGCCTATAGAAAATATTGTCTAATTTGACTATTTACACAAGTGGTGTTTAATGTGTCACCATATTTAGGATATGTGGCTCCCTACATATGACTTTGTGTCTAATATCTCTCGATGTGGCATTCAACATTACACGCCACGTTACTTAAAGTCAACATCATATTTGATTATAAAAAAAAACATGTTAAATTGCAAGAGTTACAAACCTCCTTAAATTTGAAAATTACCCAAAAAATACATCCCAAAAAATAAAAAAGAATATAAATTAAAACTTGTAGTAGATCTTCTACAAAGAAGAAGGGGACTGCACCTAAACCAGTGCCTGTTGCCATTGTCAAGGTGAATAATACAACCGTCAAAACTGAAATGTTATTGTTTCCACCTTTCTTATTAACTACCACATTATATTCATTCTCAACTTCCATTTGGAATTTTTAAGAAGCTTAGCTGGTTGGTCAAATTTGGTTTGTCTTGTGTGTGTGTGAAAACAAGCTTCTCAAGGTTTTGATGAAGAAAAAAATTCTACATACAAGATTGAATCAACAAAAAGAAATGGATCAAAGACAATGAAAGCAAACAAATTTCAAATTCATCTAAGTCTTGAAGATTTTCAAGGATTGGTCAAGAGGTATATGGCATTCAATTCTTGCTAATGAATATACAAGTGTTGATAGGTCATATATGCATGTCATAAGTATTTAAGGTGTTTAAAATCATTTTGCCATAAGTTTTATGTTGAAAAAAACAAAGATTTTTCAGTTGTGTCGGGTTGGTAATCGGTTAATCCCCTGTAGTTAATCTATTAACCAGTTAATTTTTTCAAAATTTTTATACGTTGCTGTATGTTGACCGATTAACCCCATATGGTTAATCGATTAACACTGGAGCAATGGCAGAAAATATTGCATTTTTCATCTGTTTGATTTAAAACTTCTTGTCTTGAACCATGACATCCCCTCATGTATTACACTCATTTGTAGAGGTGCATTAGGGCTATATAAACACCATTGCATCAGATTTTTACTCTCTCCTTCTTGCAAAAATTTCAAACATTCTTTCATCTCTTTAAACTTTCAAATTTTTCATAAGTACTCAAACCAGATTTTTCAAGAGTGAAACTTGTGCATTAAACCTTCATAAAAAAATCATTCTAGTTTCATTACATTTATCAAGAACACTTGTGTACCACTATGAGAATTGTTTGTTACAAGGAGAAGATCAATCTTTTGATTGATAATTGTTAAAAAAATTCATTTCAAACACTTACAAAAATTCAAATTATACATTGTTTGTTACATCTTATTTTTCCATGATTGTTGGTAATAAGATTGTGAAGTTGTATTCTTTGTTGTCCTAAGTGTGGAAACAAAAGGTCAATTGTGAGAGGATTATTCGAAATTGAACTTAGTAAAAAATCTAAGAGGTTGTTCTTGGTATTGATTTGTTAGTGTCTGAAAGGTTAGGAAGAGTCTTGTCTAAGTCCTAATATTATTAAAAATCTCTTTCATGTTGAAAGGAGATTAAAGTACTTTCAGACTGTGAGGGAAACCAAAATATATTATTGTGTCATTTACTTTCTGCATTTATAGTTTTTATCACATAGTAATCACTTAAAAAAATAAAACATAAAACCGTTAAAAATCCGAAAAATATTCTAAGTACCTAATTCACCCCTTTAAAGTGTAATATTAACTTACAGTCTGTGTTGAATTTCAATCTATTTACTCCAATTTAAGAGTGTGAAAGTAGTTAGGAATGTGCTTATTTTAGTTGTTGTAATGACACATAACATGTCACATTCAGGCAATAATGTAACAAATTTTAAGATTTGGATAGAAAAACTTTAAATTAAAAGTGATGTTTATAAGTATCATATATACTAAGTATAAAAAAAATAACAACGCTAAAATCTAGTATATTATATAGGAGTTGTTGTCTTAATAAATTTAACATAAAACAATTCGATTACATATTCAGAAGTCAGTCATATAGATTACAAAAAAATTGTTTTTTGGAAAATAGTACTTCATGACGCAATGCAAATCTTTCTCTTTTTTATGATAGTTTACTGAACGTTGAGTAAATGTGTGATTTTTGTTTGGGAATGAAGAAATAGATGAAGACCATGTTAAAGATGTGGCTCATGCATTTTATATAATTTTCTTCAGAAAAATTGTATGCTTTCTCGTTTAACTTATTGCATTTCTTCCGGTGTAAACTAAAACAAATCATGGAGGGAGAGAAACAATCCACATGAGAAACCATGTCAACACTAATCTATCACATATTCGAATGAATATATGAAGGTTTGTAACTCTGCAAATGTGTTTTTTTCTAATCAAATATAATGTTAACTTTAAATAATGTGGTGTTATGTCAGCTTATGTTATAGGAAATTATAGGAAATGGTCGGTAGATATCAAAATTACAGGACAAAATTTTGTATGAGAAGCATTACTTTGAAGAAAAACAATTATATGAGAATTTTGAATTATTTATAAGATCGCATACATATTTAATCTATAAAAAATGATATATTTTTTATTTTGATAAGTAATTGACTTGTATTCTTTAAAATGTAATGGACATGCATTAATGATTTAAAATAATTTTACAAATTATTCAAGTCTTTTAACTAATTATCTCATACTACATTCTAATTGGAAGTCAATAAAAGCAATTTATGTTTTTAAGATAACTTTTTATTTATGTATTCATAAATATTGGCCTATAAAATTTGCTACTGTGACCAAAACTTTTAGTGATTACATATTGTAAAATCTAAAGTAAATATTTTGATTAAATTATAATTAAAAGATTTGATGTTCTATATTGGATCAAATTTATAAGTGGTATTTAAAAATTTAATTTATGGATGAATAAGGTGGTGATATGGTGGCTTGAGTAATACGATCGATATAAAGAAATATTGACAGGCTTTCAGTTTATTTATCAAATAAGTATCTATTAAATTGTTATCCAAGTCATGGAAATAAAAGTGACTATTAACGAGTACTTCCAAGAAACAATTTGTTATTGAAGTTTCAACCATTTTTAAAGTATTGGCCCACAGTATAGTATGCATTATGCTAGAATTTGTCTAGAAGGAATATATTTAGCGAAAATGTCACGCAAGATGTGTCTAAAATGAAAAAACAGATATCTGAAGCAGATGAGGAAAAAAAATACAAAACGCTGCCTGTCAAAACCAGTAAAATAACAGCACACCTCTGCACTAGAAAAAACTTCTAACACCTAACCACCGAACAATGACCCTAGTGTCGACAAACACAAAGCACAGAATCTGCAGACATATTGTTGCCAAAACAGAAAGCAAGACAAGCAACACCGAAGCATCACAGTCAAGGAATCCCTTGTCGAAAGCAAGACAGCGGTAAGGAAAACGAAATCCAGCTTAGCCACCACTAGCTTAAATACTAGTCATTCTCTATATTTGACAAATGTATAAAACACCAACATTTTTAAAAGTATTGCATAGTATTTGGATGTTTATACGATGAAATATCGAAATAACCTTTACTTTTAGTCAACAGAACTAGTGCATGTGAAAAAGACTTTCTTTTTCTTTTTAAGTTTATAAAATAACATGCATTGTCTATTTCTTAACATAGAAACGACAAGAAGTATTGTCAATTGTCAATTTTTATGTAAAAAAAGTGCACGTTACTGGTATTATTTTCTCAGCTGAAATCATCATTATTATTATTATTGTTATTAAGAAAAAAACTAAGACATCAAATTTGACCACAAGTTCTTATTTTGTTTCTTTAATTTGAAAAAAAAATGTAGACTTGAAATGTTTAATCCTTCCTTTCACATTTCAATTCCCACCTAATAATTTCAAATTTTGATATAAATTCATTACCATATATTTATTGTTACCAAATATCAACAAGGACCATTAGATGGAAACAACCCTCTCAAATTATATTCATTATCAATCTCATGATTAATTTACAACTTATGATATCTACTTCCCATTTTCTTTTTGTGGGAAGCGACAAGCAGAGCACAACTATTGACATCTAAAAGAGATAAAAGGTTTAAAAAAACTGGCACATCAAAATACCCGAGAAAAGAGGTGATGCCTTTGATCTTTCTCTTGAAGTAAAATTGCATACAAAGCAAAGAAAGGAAAGAGGAAATCCAGAGAATGACCGGGGAAAGGAAAAGCACCCTACAATGGATCGATCTATGTATGAACTTGGAAAAATATGACCTACTGACTATCCGAGTTATATACAGAGCATAGTTTACCGATGAAGGGTAATACTGCTGCAAGCAACGCTTTAGGACATTCTTCGTGGGGTAGATGGCCACATCCTGAGATTGCAACCAGTCTCTGCATTTTGAAGGGATAAGTATTAGAAAACTCTAAAAAGTAACCATATAGCATTAAAAATGGTAGAGAAATTTCAGAACAATGGAGTGGGATTCCAAAGTGTGATTTGTTTTCTACCTTGTAGTTTCCACTATTACCAAGCACACACCCACACACTAATTTCACAGCCCCGCATTGTGGAAAATGGATAAATAAATTTGGACGTTGATACTTACAGAATTCATAAATTTTGATGCCATCGTTTGACAAGATTTCAGAGAAACTAGTGAATCTTCTGCACCAGCTATGACCAACAATGAAATATCCTTTACATCGTGTAGCAATGATTCTGCACTTTTTGCAGAAAGGATGTTTTCAGATGACAATTTGCCAATTTCATGAACTGCTTCATCCCATCCTTCTACGAATAGTGGAGCCTACAAAACCCACAAGTCATGGGTAACACAAATTAATAACATTTACTTCCAAGTGATGCTCAACAAAAGCATAAGGGAGCAAACATCCAGAAGAAACTAAAAAGAGATAGAAATATCTCAATTTAAAACTACTCCAATAAACGTACAACACAGTAAATATGTCTAACAAATAAAAATCATATTCAGTATGGCAAACTATCTGAACGAAGTATAAACCAAAAACATTCTGAAGCAATTTAAGTTTGTGAGAGTTCATTATATCACATTTAACTATGGGTTAAGTGATCATTTTCCAGTCCATGCATATTATCATCTCTGCAATCATATACATACCTTATAAAGACTCAAAACATCCGTTGTCAGTTTGGTAGCATCATACCATGAACGCCGATTGATCACTTGAGTGATTTCTGTTCTTAGCAATGGCCGAACCAAATGCTTCTTTCCAAGTGAGGTGTGCAGAAGGATTCTGGCAAATGAAGGAACTACTTCCCTAGACAAGCTAACATTTACCAATACAACCCCTTTCACTGTAACCTGGATGACAAAAAGACCCAATAACTTAATAAAATGCACGTTGACCACAAATATTCATATATGCACTAATAACTAAATACCAAGTTACGTAAATGTTAAGTATTTATCCATTGCCATGTGAATCCTGTTTTTTGTTGTCATAACTCATGATTATTATGTTGCATAGTTAGCAATTAACAAGTTATGCAATATATAAATATGCATGCTAATCTCAATATAACAATAACCTGTTATCAACATTAAGTAGCTTCTATCAAGCCACTGTAAATCGTGAAATCTTAAAAACATATTGCACTCTTGCGTAACTTCTCAACTCGTATGGTTAACTGGATGGAAATGTAAAACACCTTTGCTATCACAATAGACATCAACTAATTTCTTTAATCCATTAGGCCCACATCACAAATAAAACTCAGGTTGCCGCATGCAGCTAATCAAATTGATTAGGTTATCAACTACATAACATGAGAAAGCAGGAAAAAATACTCACATTGAAAGAATTCATTGACCTTTGAACTCTTTGTGCAGCCATCAAAGCAAGCAGCCCTCCATCATCATGACCAACTAGCACAACTGAAGAAAATCCAATCTCCGAACAGAAAGACAAGAGCAGGTCAACCTGAAAAATATAGATCCATCAGAAGTGGACTTTTGGACAGCAAAAAATTTTCTAAAACAATTAATTCTAAAGATAAATAGTACTCACCTGATTTTCAAGTTTATAAGGATTAGGCAGTTCTGATTTCTCCCAGTCCTCCCGTCTCAGCCTTGAAGTCAATCCCCAACCAGGCCTATCAAATGCAGCAACCGAGCAATTACTCTGCCGAGCGAGAGAATTCATTACGTGCCGCCAAGAGAAGACTCCTCCACCAAACCCATGTATTAAAACAATACCCATTTGACTAATGCCCTCTGCTTTTTTATCCAAAGACATGATATCCGATTTAACGGTTTCATCACCTTCACGAATTTCATCTAGATGAAAAACAGGGACATCTTCTGAAAGAAGAGGAGACATTACTGGACCATCTAAAAGAGGAGCATATAAAGAAGACGAGTCGTGTAATTGATTGCTATATGTCCTGTAGAGTGGTCGCTGGATTTTGGAAGACACGTACGGCAATTGTCTATTAAATTTTGATAGTCCCGCAGACATCGGTGAAGTGAAACAAATAGAGCTGGATTCAACAAAGGATGACGAGGACAAGCTAAGTGAAGGAGGTGACCTAGGCAGGCTTAGCTTGTAGTGGAGAGTAAGACCTTGGCAGGTGATGAATAAGCTGTCAGAGTCTGCAAGTAATCTAACTGATACTTCTTCATCCCGAGCTGCTCCAAAGGGTCTCCGCTTCATTTCACTATCACTTTTTGGGGTTCTCCCTCCAGAAGGAATAGGTGAGCGTGGGGCTTTCTGATAGCTAGAGAAAACATTTTTGCACGAAAGGACCTGCTTAATTAGCCAGAAACAAATAAGTAAATAAACCATTTTTACATGAGTCATCAAAGTAAATACTACAGATTGATTTAAGCTTTGTAAACTCAGAAAATTTCTCTCAACCTAGAGCAGAAAACTACGACCACTGAAGTCCAAAGAAGTAAAAAGAACAAAATTTAAAATCCCAAACTTACAGCTTCGGGATCAACTCGATGAAACATGAGCTTTCTCCTTGCTCTGCAGCTGGTTCTATAAGCAACCACGCTATGGCCGAGGGCAAACACAACTGACGAGAGAAATAAGACAGGCATTCCCCATGACTTTTTCAAACGGAGTATCTTCCTTGCAAGGGATACCGAAGCTTCCTCTTCAATCTGAGAATTAACAGTGAAAACACAAGCTTTGACTGAAAGGACCACAATTGAAACAAAGGAAGACAGAGTCACTGTTCCAAGATAAGGACCATGTGAGAGAGCAGGACCATCACAAATTGAATAAACACCTGTGTTCAATTCAAAATAAAATCCCAGTAAGAGAACCAATCTTCTAGACATGAAAACTACACCTATTACAAACAAACATAGACTATTCACCTACTACTCCTTATAAACATGTGGTTTACAGAATACAAATTGAGAAAGTAGAACTCATTCTGTAATAATTACTTATAATAACAAAAATCTGTTCAAGCAGTGTGAGAAAGGAGACACACACACAAAATAACTGTTAGATAAACATCCCTTTAACTCCTGATGAACTCCAACTACATAATTCCATGTACAGCAACAGAACATCAATTTCATATTACATAAAAGACAATAGATGAATCATTACAACTTTTTTATCTTTGTTTTGCAACACAATGCAGGATATCAAAATAAACAAACAACAAACGACTCCATGGAGAAGTTAGGCAATACGTGTATCTAGAACCTCGGGCAAATTACTTGTTCTAGCTGATATAGTAAGATTTATTCGGAGCACAATTGAGAAAACCAACAACGGGAGGGTCATAAATTTACATAGTCATCACATCACATCAAATGTAAGTAAAATGAAGCAAAAAAAAAGTGATTATTAAGAGAAAGAGAAAAAAAAGATCATACAGATAATGATGAAGGATCTTATAATGGAAACGAGAGGAATATCCGTTAAGGAACTCTTAAAGGAGTATCGAATCAAATGCTCTTTGAAACTGTAGCATCCAACACACGTAAACCTCGAAATCAAAACGCAAGGAACAACCACATCAAGAACCGCCACAACCACCGGTAACGACGTAACCAGTAGCGACACCACCAATGCCGCCACGAAAAAAACCGTACGAACACACCTCCGAAGCTTCTCGAAACACTGTCCTCCCCTCGCCATCACAAAATAACGATCCGGTAAACGGTAACGGTTTCCACGTTCGGCGGCAGTTACGATGCTTAATTTTTCAAAAAAAAATCAATTAATTAGTTGAGAGATCTCTGAATTCGGTAAGGAACTGAAACCCTAGCTTAGCTAAATTGATAGAACGGAGTGTTCTCTGACGGGGACACATCTATTCCGACAAGCGGCGGAGGATTAGTATTGCCGGAATGATTGCCGGAAGTAGGTGAACGACGACAACGCTAGGGTTTCGGTTCGGTGTGAAGGAACGAAGAGAGAGGGTTGAACGTTGAAAAGCCCTCTCTCTGTGAAAATTGTGAGAGTTTGAAGTTTTGAAATGCTCTTTGCCTTTCTCTTTCTCTAACCTCTTTCTTTCTGTTTCTTTCGTCTTCTAAACTTTTTGTTTTCATACACTACTACTTCATTTTATTTTATTCTTTTTTATTCGGTTATTTTAAGTAACTAATCTTGTAATTAATTATTAACCTTCTTCTAGTTATAAGAACAAAATGTATAGTTTTAGGGTGAATTTTTAAAAATATATACACACTGGTAAACAAAATAGAAATAGTTTTATAAAAATAACAAAGAAGAATATTTTATCTTTAAGAAAAATTTATATTATGGTATAAAAATTTAAAATATTACTTAAGTAGTCATATTTGTCAAAATATATATATATATATATATATATATATATATATATATATATATATATATATATATATATATATATATATATATATATATATATATATAAATGATTTCAGTCAACAAAAACGAAATTTATAAATCTTAAAAATCTATTAAAAAAATTATTTTGATAAAATGTATTATTGGAATACACCTCACCTCATTCATTAATTTACACTGTAATATTCCTTTTTGTTTTCATACATTTCTACATTTTATTTTATTCATTTTTATTCTATTATATTAAATAATTAGTTATCTTGTAATTAATAAATTTAGTAGTAATAAGGACCTAAAATAATCTTACAATAATAAAAATTTATTCTGTTATCAGGCGGCTTGGGGTGAATTTTTAAGATATATATACACTAGTAAATAAAATATAAATAGTTTTAAAAATAATAGAAATAAAAAATAAAGAAAGAATATATTATCTTTAAGAAAAATTAAAATATAGTATATATATATATATAATTTCAATCAATAAAAAAATTATATAAATCCTAAAAAATTTATTAAAAAAGAGATTAATTAGTAATATGTTGTAAAATGTTTTACAATATCAATGTATCATAAATGATATTTTTATCTATATTTAAAGTAAAAGTAAAATAAGAATATTTATATTTTCATAGGATGTATTTATATTTTAAATAGACGCAATTTTCTATTTGTTGTTTGTTTATTTAAATTATTTTACCAACAGTCTAATAAAATAATCATAGATAGCAACAATATAAATTTATTTAAAGGGTAAAAAGAAAAATAGACCTTTAAACAAATGGTGGGAAGAAGTTACATTGTCTCACAAAGAGTGTAGTTTATAATAAAGGAGAACAATTTTGTAGTACCAAAAAAATGAGTCATTGACTCTTGGTTGTCATTTTATGGAATCTGAATATTTGAGAGTTGTATTTATTATACATAGATTACGAGGATTCCAAGAGCTGTGTATTAAGCCGAAAATTGAATTGCTTTGGTAGGTATGTCTGTCGATATTATATTGAGTAACAATATTTTATAATCAAGTATTTAATTGCGGTGTGGAAGAGCAAATATTTAATTCAGATTCTCTTTACAGATTTTAATTGTTTCTTTTAAGTGATTCGATGGATGAGAATTTATTTTTGTAAGTTATTTGTTTTGATTGAAAGGTTCTAAGTGTTGTTTATATTTCAAAAATTTCTAATTAATTAGTTTTGTTTAACGAGAAGTTAAATTGTATTTTGACATGAAATTATGGTGGTTTTTTTTTTAAAGTGAAGTTCGGAGCTCGATAAGTATGTGAGTTTGATATATAGATGATTTTGTCTATAGGGTGGTGTTCGACAGAAAATTCGTGTTGCACAAATTAGTTAGTTAGTTAATTTTTTGTATAAATACTATTGTAATACACTTTTAAGAATAATCACCACTCATTTTTATTTAAAAAAATGTTTATTCATTTTCTTCTTTCTTAATGCAATATTAACATTCGTTTCAATAAATTGATATCAACGAGTCTGATTGTTATTCAGTTAGCAACGGCAAACAGTAACACAACATCAACGCAATTTTTTGCAAGTCTTCCGATTTTTAAAAGTGAAAATTATGAGAGGTGGATTGCATAAAATGAATGTCATCTTTAGATTTCAATATGTTGGAAAATTGTGCAAGAAGGAGTCTCACCATTAGAGGCGAACACGAGTGATGTGTAGAAGGCTGCGCAGAAGAAGCATATGAAGAAAGATGGAAACGTTCTCTATTTGATTCACCAGGTGTGGATTCAAATATCTTTGAGAAAATTATAGAAGAAGAAACAACGAAAGAAGCTTGGGATAAATTGAAGAAATTGTAAGGTGGTGATGAGAAACTCAAGAGAATGAAACTGCAGACCTTGAGGAAATAATTTGAGACGACTCGAAAGAAAGATAACGAATAAGTTTCAGAATTCTTTTCGCGCATGGTGTTGCTAACAAGCCAGATGAAGGCGTGTGGTGAATCAATGAGTGACCGGTAAAAGATTGAGAAAGTATTGAGATCTCTAACTCCAAGTTTTGATTACATTGACGTGTCTATTGAAGAGTTCAAGAACCTAACTGAGATGAAGTTGGAAGAACTTCAAGCTTCATTAAAAGCTCGTGAAATGAGATTAAAGTAGAGGAACTCAAAGAGGGGGAATGTGGCTGAATAGGCATTGCAAGCAAGATTCATCAAGAAGTTTAGAAATGAAAAGGTGAGGCAAAGAAAGAATCTTGCTAATGATTAGAATTCGAGCAAGAATTCAAAGAATCACACTAATTCAGTCAAGAAAGGCATGTACAACAGGAATTCGATGAACAAAGTTGACATGAAGGAGGTGCATTGCTACAATTCTCAAAGACTTGGTCATTATGCAAGAGATTGTAAATTACCCAAGGAATCGAGAACAAAAGGAAAGGAAGAGGTTCAGTTTGCTCATGCATGAGGAAGTGATTATGATGATGTGTTGCTAATGGACAATAATCAAACTAGTGCTGATCTAGCGAGGGTGTGATACTTGGATTTAAGATGCAACAATCACACGGCTGACAACAAAAGCTGGTTCATCATGTTAGATGAATTAGTCAAGAAGGAAATCACATTTGTAGATGGAAGGCATGTTACATCATAAGGAAAGGGAAACCTCGAAGTAGTGAGAAAAATGGTCAGAAAGTAGTCATCATTGGTGTTATGTATATGCCATATATGACATGTAACCTGATCAGCATTGGTCGATTACTTGCAAAAGGGTACAACATGAAAATGATGGATAATCAAATGAAGTTGTTTAATGGTGAAGGAAAATTGATCCTAAGAGTGCCATTAGTGTCGCGGCGTAAAAACTACTTGAGCATACAAACGCTCGAAATACAACAGAGTCGTCACTAAAGTTAATTTTTTAAAGGAAAAACGTCGATAAAACCTTAAAAAAATAAAAATATGGTTATCGAGACCAAATTTAGGTTTGGAAGTCGGTTATACGTGGGGAATATATTAACACCCCACACATCTATTGTACTTAACGAGAACTATTTAATAAACTTTGTTAATACGAGTGTTAACTTACTATTAATATTTATAAATATATATAGTGTTAAGAATATTTGTATATAGAATACTCTCACATCGACTATATCATGTAATTAGTTGTAATCCATTTATATATAATAATGTCTCCGTAGTGCTTTTCAAAACACACAGTTTATTCAAATGTCTCTTAGTCTCTTGTATTTCAACATGGTATCAGAGCCTCGTTTAAGATCCGGTGGGCCACCTTCTATGGTTTCCGCTATCGGGCCACCCACCATTTATTTCCATGCTTCAGTTGTCCAGTCCTGAGCGTGAGGGGGGGTGTTAAAAGTCCCACATCGGACAATATATGGCATGAACATGTGTTTAGAAGTGGGGGTAATCCTCACTCTACCAACCAGTTTTGTAGGGTTGAGTTAGGCTCAACCACACTTCTTAACATGGTATCTAGAGCCTGCTAAGAGGCAATTCTTTCTTCGTCGTGCTTTACCCGGTTGACCCACTGTCTTCCGGCGAGAAATTTTTTTTTTAAATTTTTTTTGCAAACCGTGTTGTCACTCCGGTTTGCCTCACTTTTCAAAATTCTCCGGTGACCACCCTGCCGCCACTGCCGCTATTACTGTTCTGGAAAAACTTCCGGCGACGTTTCGGAAAGCCGATCTCACCATCAATTTCCAACATTCTCCGGTCATAGCCGCCGCCGTCGCTACTATTCTCAACGACCTTCCGGCAAACTTTTTCATTGGCAGAAACCTCCGCACGCGCCACCTCCGTTTCCGCGCGATCGATCGCATGATATTTTCTCTCTTCAGATACTCATGGCTACTCCTCAGAACTTTACGCCAAACTATGATGATTTTCTCAGGTGGTATCAGAATTATCAGAACTCAGATTCTACTGCTACGGTAGCACACACTGGTAATTTATCCGTTTGCCTCTCTCAATCATCTCCTCTTCGACCTTGGGTCCTTGATTCCGGTGCATCTTATCATGTTACTGGTAATAAAAATTTGTTCTCTTCCCTCTCTACCTTTGGTTTCTTACCTACTATAACTTCTGCCAATGGTTCTCAAACCCGATCCGAAGGGATTGGTACTGTTCAAATTCTACCTTCTCTATCTGTTACTTCTGTCCTCTACGTACCTAATTGTCCATTTAATTTACTTTCAGTCAGTCGTTTAACTCGTTCTCTTGATTGTAGTATCACCTTCACTAATAATAATGTTACCCTGCAGGATCGGAGTTCGGGAAAGACGATTGGCGTCAGATATGAG